AATGGGAAGATCACTTCACCTGCTATGCCTCAGCAACGCACTCAATTCTTATCCCGTTCATGTAAGGCGTACACCACATCAATCCTTTGGTTTTGCATGTTTTTACGCAACTCTTCACTTAGATAAAAATGTCAAACTACAATCATGTCGGAGGTTCGCCTACGTGTTGTAATTCAAAAGTGTGCAAGAGAAGCTTCCTTGTCTTCGACCAAAACAACAACGATTGCCATGTTTTGGAAAGTGGCGAATCATTTACTGAAGAGGAAGTCCTCATTTTTGAAGATGGTACAAATTTTCAAGTCTTCATTTTACCTGCCACAGCGTTTGCCCACAAGAGGACCTCATTCGACACTTTGGGAATGGGGAGGGGTGGAAGAGGGTGAGAGGGAGGCACTGCCTCAGCATAATCTAGCACTCCTCTTAGAATCTTTCTCCCAGATAGTGACTATTACCTTGCCTTGGCGTTTGCCATACTAAATTGATTCTAGCTGGTAAACGAATGTGAGGTAGAAACGGAAGCGTCTAGACGGAACCATTTGTGTGAGTGGAAGCCGTAAGCCTATATTTCGTTTGTTTCGTCATATACTTTAATTAATAGAATGTTTCATAGGACTTGATAGGGTTGATTAATTCTTGTGGTAGAACAAGCATCGAAGGCAGGCAGGAAAATAAATTTTAAATACATTAGTATCGTGGATAAATAAAAAATTCCCTTACAGTTGAGCAGATACACATAGCCTACATAAATTCCATCCCAGTGGTGGTCATGCAACCAACTACTGAAATTTACCTTGCATTCAATCCGAATTATTAGACCTGTTGGAAAGCCGGGTAATCGTCTTCAGTTGTAGAGTTCACTGTGTATACTGCTCTTATTCCTCCATGAAATTGTAAGGAAGGCGAGGTATTAACTTACAAAAGGGTTACAAAATCAGGCCACCCCAAGAGAGAAGCACAAACCGTAGAGTGTACCTTAAAGCTGATACCAGAACGCTCCAGTCCGTTGTAATACACCTTGGAGCTAACACATCAACATCCAATGGTACTCGAGAGTGTTTAACCACCCACTAAATACAAAAAAAGCGAAAATATTTAGCTAGCTACTATCAAATTCCCTTTTTTTTCATCAAGATGTTAGCTGACTGATTTGACACGAGGTGAGTACTCGCCTGTTGACAAGTAAGCAGTTCTAACGCCCACGCATCAAAGTTGAACGACTAACGATGATTCAAGTGCTATCAAGAAAACCGAAGGAGTGAAGCGAATCACTTAGGAGTACCTACCACCCACGTCAGACTTGGCAATCATTCACTTGTCCTTTTATTTGCACACATGCCAATTGATTGGCATCTCACAATTGCCTGAGAGTGCTGAAATGAGTGGATCTTTGCCCTGCCGGAATTCGGAGGGGGTAATCACAGAGTCACAATGCTCGGTGCTGTGTGCGTGATGCCATCACATGGAGCGGTGCCAAGGCTTCACTTGACCAAATCACATTACACTTCTGTTGGCAGTGTAATTTACCAACATTTAAAAAACGACAATTTTTTTGGTCCCTTTACGCCTAGTTTGATCATGTAGGGTCTGCGTGCTTCACGTGGTCTAAGCACGAGGTTAAGTAAGGTCACGCAGTAGTTATTGCATCGTGTACTATTGCACAGGCACGCTAGTTGCAACGATTTTGCGTCACGACTACACAAACAGGTTCGAGAGCGGGCCAGTATGCATAAACTACTTACAATCGTGTTTGTAATCCATGCAATTGTAAGATTGCCATTGCCCCTCCTGGAAATGGACATTTCGGGATTGAGAACTCAAAATATTTTAAAGAATGAGAGTTCTGCCATAGGGGATCCAATGCAAGGCAGTACAAACGCAAACCACTGTGGCGCCTGTTAACGTTGTAACATGTGGGCGGTGCTTCAGTAGCGAGATAGGCAAATATCAATCACGCCAAGGGCGCAAGAAGGACGAAGTGTGAAGGGTGACTCAGGATACCCCTCCCCAATCACAGGCGATACAGCACAACAGACGTCATCACCTCCCACTACTTTGATGCGTGTCATTGATGGCCTACGCAAAAGCTACCGCTTTAGGCAAACAACAGACATCGTGGTGGAGGCTATCACAACAAAGTAATTAGACACTTCTAACCAACTCCAGGCAAAAGCCAAAACGAATACGTAAAATGAACACCTATATTTAATTAACAATAAGCCCCTGCACTTGTAAAACCTTTGCTGGTGGTTTAGCATGCCAAAAGCGAGAGCGGCGCAGATGGGCAAAATAAATGTTAGTACAGTAAGCACGAAGAGAGGTTATGATTACGGAAACAGTCAAGTCACGTCGCTACATTATGCAAAACTCGCATTCCAGACCAATGCATCAGCACTCCTCCTGGTCCAAAACAGCCCTCTTATCGCGTGACTTCTGCCGATGCCGAGTGCGGACTTTGGAAGCGCGCTGATTAGCGTATTGACGAGCCTTTTTGTTCTGCCCTCGCGCCGCCTGACTAGGAGGTATTCTCGGCAGCGGCGGGCCCAAATCAAAGATCGTGCGTATCAGCTCACTCTCGCGCAAGTGTGTGCTCATACCAACTGCTATAAGGCGGCAGAAGGACTCGTAGAGGAAGGCTGAACAGAATGTGTTAATGGTCAGACGTTCAGACTGCAACTTCACCACCTGCTCGGGAGGCGATTCGTACGAACGCAAGAAGTTGAGAAGGTCACGGAAGCTCGAGCGCTGTTTCTTGGAGTCGACTTTTGAAGTCGACTTGTCCGAATTGTTGGCGAGTTGGTCGAGAACTTCAGTCAGCATAGTGAAGTATGAACCCTTAAAGTCATTCTTCGTCTCGTCCCGAATGCGCTCGTAGATTAGACCCACTGCGTCACCGGCGGCAAGACGAATGTCCAGATAACTAGACTGGAGAAGACTAACAAGAGACTTAAGTATGGCCTGTCCTAGAGTATTCGCATCTGTGATGGGCAAGACGGTGTAGAGGAGGCACCAGACATGGAGGCAATCGCGGTGCAGCGACACCGTTGTCGCCTCCAGACTCGGTGGTTTCCCATCGCCTTTGAGACAGGAGGCCTTAAAGATTTCCTCCAGAAGGCCCATTAACCGCCTGATGCTAGGAAAGTCCTTTGAATCGCTTAGAAAGTGCAGCCACCCTAGGGCGATAGAGCAGGCACTTCTAAATGTACTCTTTTCTGTGGAATCACATATTCGCGCCTCCATAAAGCTCTGGAGCTGCTCTGCCAGACAGCGGTTCTCAAAAGGTGTTAGCTGAACAGTGAAGACGCTTAGGCACTGGGCGGCTGCTACCCCCTCTGCAGGTTTACCACGCCTCATGGCAGTGTCCAAACTCGAAATTAGTGTTTCATGGTAGTTCCATTTTTCGGGTAAAGTGGGTAACCCGAGGTAATTCACACGAAAAGCATCTCGAAGAGATCGCATTGTGAGAACACGTTGATCCGGACGATTCGCGGAGAGTGAGTCAATAGCCATCGCCACCTTCTCCAATAGCGATACGGTTGGGTCGTCAGAAGACTAATTAAAGGGATAAACGAAATCACATAATCTTGTGCATAGCCTCAAAGATCCAAATATAATGCCCTTTTTTGTGCATGTCAACCTGCACTCACACGCAAATGTATGATGACGCGCAGCATCAAATACTGGTACATGAAACAACGAGCACTAACAATCCTAAACGTTAACACGTCTCTAGATCGCGTTAAATAAGCTCGACTGCTTCAAGAACAAGGTTTAAACGACCGTACGACAACACGCAAATATGATAGCTGCCAAATTGGACTTACGTCAGCTCTAGATGACTCTGAATCACTGCCGTCGACAGATTGGCTCGCCATGCTAAGATCATCGCAAACTCCTTCGGGAAGGACACCTGTCTATGTAAGCAAATAAAAACGCGAGAACTACTTTTCGGTGCGGCTTTCTTCTTGGTCATTATGGAATTGAGTTATATGAAACATGTACAGCAAGCACGCCACGACGCAAGAGTTAGAATAATCTTATGGGCCACCAAGGTTGGTAAGGCGTTCTAGCCAATCAACGCTGTAAGCACAATTAACCAGTAATTTTAAAATTAATTGATCAATACACAAACTTGCAGAAAAAGAAGGGTAATATGACTAGCGAAGACACTACAGAGGCACATCAAAGAAGCACTGTTATAAAAGATCACAGCTAACGGTGTCTGTGAGCACTCAAGAGTGCAAGGAAGCTACTCACTTGATAGTTTACTTATGAAAAGTGAAATTTTTAAGAGCTTCAAATTAAGCATTTATAACATATTTGCCCTCTTATGTATTGTTTTTCTGCGCCTGTATCATAGAAATAGGATAAAATCATGATCTTGAAAGCCACTGACGAACCAATGTCCAAATTGGAGAGTTTAGGCCAAAAGTGCAAAGTGTTTCGCAATTAAAGCCTTATGTCGAAAGCACAAATCCGGCAAACCTAGTTAAGTAGTTCCAGTAAAATGAACGGGGCGCAGTGATTAGGATTATGCTCGCTGCGAATACACTTCCCTATTATAAGTGGGTGGCGTCTATTCTGTTACAAGGTAGTAATCAGTGAATGCTTCTCACCTAAAAGATATCTTCAAGCAAACGTATATTGCAATAAGTTGCGTTAAGAACTACATTTATTGCAAAGCAAAACATTCCTAAACAATCTGCTAGCCTTAACACTATTAAGCACCACAAATAATGCTAATTAAAATATCGTAAGAAAACACGATTGCTGGTTGACAAAATATGTACAAAAACAAGTGCCATTTTATATTTAGCTGGATTCACTGAATACTTGCACACCTATGTCAAATACTTAAATAATCTTTTTGGTTAGTTGCTTTAAATTCTAAACCTATCTATGTATATAGATAGCATTTAAGAAGAAAAATAACCTGGTAGTTGCATCTGCCTTAATTCTTGTAGTTTTTCTTCTTAAACACGTGATTTTTTGGCATGTTAACTTCTATCTGTTTAATTTAAAATATTCATCATCAATGTTTCACTAACCGTATTAATTTTGTCTGCCTAACGCGACTTGTTTTATTCGCCACATACGGTGACGCGGTCGCTTGGGTCTGTCCGCGCTCCTGCACCGTATCCGCTTTTGGATTTCCCGACGACGTGGGCTCTGCTCCTTTCATACCCCCTTGATTAGTACTGCGTGAGGACTAACGGTAGGCCTTAATATTTTTGTTGTGATGATAATTTTCGTCGCATTGTGAGTCGACGTTGGTTTCTAACGTCTACCACGCGCTTATGCGAGCCACATAGTTACTCTGACAATCGCCCATTATTCACACTAGTTCTTTTTAACTTCAGAATTTCATCTCATCGATTTGCGCACGCACGTGGAAGTGTAATTATCGGTTTTGCTTCTGATTATTGGAGTCGTGTTCGTCGGATCAAGGTCAAATACCTTTTCTTCAGATAGCGGTGAATTATGCCATTTTTTAAAGTTCTATGGAATAAAGTTACTTCCTTCTGGAGATTTTGTTTGGTTGTGGCTCTTTGCATTCGCATTTCATGGAGGTCGTAAGGTTTGAGTTTTGAGTTTACGTCTGTCACTTGCGCATCGGAATGCTATGTTGATGTTGGGGTGCGTCTGCTCGCAGTTATGCACCATTGGCGCCACGGTCGCTCCGACTCGTGCCGACCGGACGCTTATGTATTGAGTATCCAGCCGAGGCTCTTTTCTGGAGGAGCGAGCAGTTCTACGCCTTCGGCGTTGAGTCTGTAGCCAGCTTATACAGTCTTGACTTGGGGTTGATACATTTTCACTCACAACTGGGAGCGGTTTGGGATGCGGATTTATGGGACAGCGAGTTCGGTGTACTGTCGGTTCGGTCGTGGGCTTGCCCATGGTGTGTCGAGCATTTATCCCTACTTCAGGGCAATCACGGAGGACTGTGCTGAGGTAAGGCATTTCTATGTGAGGGAGGTTTAGGTATTTACTTGCGTCGGGAATATTTTGAGGTCATTTTTAGGCAGCCTTTGAGTGGCAGTTTGCCACTCCTAACTACTGTGTTATTTTGGCTGCTCACTACATAACTGTAATCCAAGCGTAACAAGAGACAGGTCAGCATGAATGGTATCCACCCCTTTATTTGCAACCTAGCATCTAATTGCTTAATTTGATGCCTGATCTATTGCGTGGTTATCGAATTGGTGGTAGCGTGGACTGTCCATCATTCCACTTTCTCCGGAGTTCCTGCTCCAGCGATCCAAACTCTAAAACTTTGGGGGATGGGTGTTGTAACGCCTTCCAATGAGATATCGGCACCATGAAATACATGGGTCTTAAATTCGCCCTCGTGCAAGCATCCAGTGACCTGTGTCCCTCATGGGTGTTCGCCTCGAGTAGAATGCGGTTTTACGAAAATAACTGCACGAGGCTCAGACCTTACTTCCCATGGAGATAACAACAGCTTGGCTTTTTATTATGAATTACCATAGAATATATTGAAAGGGTGAGGCACATTTAAGGAAGATTTACTCGTCGGCAACCTCGAGCCACTAGATGAGTACTGGATATTTGTCGGTTAACGACCCAGGCAATTTTATGCCTCCTACTGGGGACAAACATACCAACTTACGTCCACCGTTGAAATTGGGCTTCAATCCCATACACAAATAATGAAGAGGAATGCTAAGTGACAGTAGCCTGGAAAGCCTGGTACCACTTGCCACATGTATCGTAGCAGCCATCGCGATTCTTCTACTCCCAATTTTAAACCCTCTGATCGAGAAGACTAAACTAGTGATAACAATTTATGTCCAAACATAATGTAAGACTTTGTAGATTGTCGAAGGCTTGGGAAAGAAAGATTAGAGTTCGTTTATACATTAAAGACTAAAAACGTCCGGTCAGCAGCGAAGCCAACGCAGGTTGACCTTCTACCGCCTAAAAAGTGAATTCAGAGAAAACTGTAACATGGAACGAATGAAGCTATCTTACTCTCGCAGAAGCAGAAAAGCTCGCATATTTACCATTAATCTGACTGTACCAGCGGCGAAGAGGAGGCCAAAGGTGTTGGAGCTTGCAGAAATGAATGGAGATCGCTAGCAGGCAAGTAAGATCGGAAAAAAGACGGGTCATCCTACATCAAAACATGATGCGCACTACCTCAGCAGAGGTATATTGAACTTGATACCTCATTGCTGTTCTTATGAAGAAAAGCCACACTCACCTCCTGGCGGTCTTCTGCTGAGAAAGTAGTCAACTTACCATAAGAGTTGGTGATTGTACTGAGCAATTTTTCGTGTATAATGCAAGGACAAACTTCGCCGCATTTCTTATAGAATCCCCCAAGACCCTCGCCTTAGCTTTCTTTATTAAAGAGTTTTATGCAGGGAATAAAGGTAATAGCGAATCTGCTGCGTGATGGAAGGGTCAGCAGAGTTACCTTCGAAACGGAAATTTTGCATCGAAAATGTCTCGAACTTGACAGAACCATCTCAAGGTTTTCCTTATAGCGACAATAACTAAGCCGAGTACTGCTGCTACTACCAGTGCAGCAAGATAAGCATTAACCTTATCTCCAAGTTCGGACAATTTGGTGGAGAAAATGGACAGATAAGGGCACCAAACAACCGAGTAGCGTAAAACTCTACAGGAAGAGAGGCTATAGCTCATCAACTTGAAGACTGACAACAACAGCTTAGATAGAAGAGTATTGTATACTGGCCTCCCTCCAAACCTTGTCTTTCCAAGGATATAAAAGCTGAACCTACTGCACAAACATGTGAGGCCATTATGCTATCACTGCATTCTAAATTCCACTACGCTTTTGTGCTAAAGAAAGTCTTTTTTAGTCAGGGTAGTAAAATGCCTTAGGTGTTCATTTACTTTCGGTTTTGGAAAGGGACCACTTAAAGGGGGCTCCGACATTGTGCCTACTGCGACTGGGCTAGCCACCGGGCTATCCCAGTAGCCTCAGGCCCTACTGGCGTTTTACATATATTTATTTTGCAGACGCATTGTGCAGTAAGATGGATGTTTGACTAAGGTGCCACTTGTAACTTGCTCATTGTAGCACCCCGGGTGGGCTGGCCTTCGGCTCATTCCAGTAGCCTCCATACCTCCTATATGCTGAACGTATATGTTCTACTTAGGTATTGTGCCATCTGTTGTCTTTAGGATGGTCTCGAGGGGCTGAAATTATGTCCTTCGGAAGGTCTTAAGGCGCCGCACTGAGAAATTGACCTAAACACTGTAATAAAGTTAGCAGACAAACTTTTGTCTTCGCTCATCAGTTTAGGGTGATAACAAATCATTTTAAAAATTAGAAAAATTGTTACTACTTTAAACTTTGCGTTAATGACATATGTAAGGAAGGTTTAGTATTCCAACTAGGCTTCAAACCTATTTTGGAGGTTACAATTGGGCGTTTTGTATAAATTTAGCAAGCATTTTTTTATTTTTTAAATGCCTTAAAATTCTATTAAGGCCAGTGCATTACAAGGAAAGTGTCGATAGTTTGTTAGAGTTGTATTCTTTGCTTACACTTGTTTTAATGGACCACTTGCTCTTTTAGTCACTCGTTGGCGCTTCACTTTTGCGGCTAAATGTTGGATAGGCATACTCTCGCGCATTTGGGCGATTCTCCGCGAATCCGAGGAATGATACCGCATGACAGAGCTGCTCTTTCAGCTTTGGCAGACCTTGCCCATAGGGAATACCAAGCTGGCAACTACGAACTAGCAGAGCATCACTGCATGCAGGTGTGGCACCAAGATCCAGAGAATACGTCTACGCTCCTTCTTTTGAGTTCAATACATTTCCAGTGTCGTCGTATGGACAAGTCTGCATACTTCAGCCAACTCGCCATCAAGCAAAACCCATTGATGGCAGAAGCCTATTCCAATTTGGGCAATGTTTTTAAGGAGCGAGGTCAGCTGAAGGAAGCTATTGACAACTATCGTCACGCATTAAACATCAAGCCTGATTTCATTGATGGCTACATCAATTTGGCTGCGGCTCTGGTGGCTTTCGGCGATACGGAGTCAGCTGTTAGTGCATACGCAACGGCTTTGCAGTACAATCCGGTAGGTTATAGCTGTACATTATAAGTTGTGATTGTTAGGATTTGTACTGCGTACGGAGCGACCTAGGAAATCTTCTCAAGGCTCTTGGTCGGCTAGATGAGGCTAAAGTAAGATTTATGAACTGGGTTTGCGCAGCGCCCTTCGCGCTTGACTGGACACCCTTTGCGGCACTTGTGCCATCGCGCATAACCGGTCCAGTCAAGGTTTAGGTTTCTAGCATCACAGTTTTAGACAGGAACTAATTCGTCAGATTTTCTCCGTTTAAACAGCAAAGGTGAGAATCTACACGGTGAAGGTGATCGCGGAAGTGACGTTTTAAAGTTGTGAGTTTGCCGCGCGCGTGTATCCACTTTCGCTTAAGCGTGATACACCTGTCCATTTCACACTGCGTGTGTCTCCACGTGCATGTTCCTTTTCGGAACCATGGAGATCACTTTTTCGCGCTCAGGCCCATTCCAGGCATGCATCAGCGTGCCTATCGTTAGCGACATGCAATAATTTCCTCTCATTTTTTTCTTCATCTAGTCATGCTATCTGAAGGCCATCGAAACTTGTCCAACGTTTGCGGTTGCCTGGAGCAACTTGGGTTGCGTTTTTAACGCCCAAAACGAGATCTGGCTTGCTATTCACCACTTTGAAAAGGTAAGCCGTATTCTTCTGTTGTCGAATTCCTACTTCAGGCAGTAACGCTAGATCCAACATTCCTTGATGCGTATATCAATCTGGGGAACGTTCTTAAGGAAGCAAGAATTTTTGATCGTGCAGTAGCGGCCTATCTCAGAGCTCTTACTTTAGCTCCCAATCATGCCGTAGTTCACGGAAATCTTGCTTGTGTCTACTACGAGCAGAATCTGATTGATCTGGCCATAGATACATACAGGCGAGCGATTGATCTTCAGCCCAATTTTCCTGATGCTTACTGCAACCTGGCGAACGCTTTGAAAGAGAAGGGCAAAGTCTCGGAGGCAGAAGAGTACTACAACACTGCACTTAGTCTGTACCCTTCACATGCTGATTCGCTTAACAACCTGGCTAACATAAAGCGAGAACAAGGTCGCTCCGAGGAGGCAATTCGACTCTATCTAAGGGCCCTAGAAGTCTATCCGGATTTTGCCGTAGCACACTCCAATTTGGCTAGCATGTTACAACTGCAGGGTAAGTTGCAGGAGGCCCTTCGTCACTACCGTGAAGCGATCAGGATCTCGCCAACGTTCGCAGATGCCTACTCGAATATGGGTAACACTTTGAAGGAGTTGCAAGATGTTAGTGGTGCTATGCAATGTTATCAGCGGGCCATCCAGATAAATCCGGCGTTCGCTGATGCTCACTCGAACCTAGCTAGTATCATGAAAGACGGTGGAAATTTGGCGGAGGCTATTAACTCTTACAAGACGGCCTTGAAGTTGAAACCGAACTTCCCGGATGCGTTTTGCAACTTGGCACATTGTATGCAGATCGTTTGTGATTGGAGTGACTACAAGGAGCGGATGAAGAAACTGGTGAGCATTGTCCACGAGCAGTTGGAATCCAACCGTTTGCCTTCTGTGCATCCTCATCACTCCATGCTCTACCCGCTTAGCCATGCGCAGAGGAGGCGGGTTGCGAGCAAGCATGCAGCCCTGTGTCTAGAAAAGGTGGCCATTTTACATCACCCACCGTTTCGCTTCATGAAACGTCAACCTAATCAACGTCTACGTATTGGGTATGTCAGCTCTGATTTCTGCAATCATCCGACGAGCCACCTAATGCAGAGTGTACCTGGCCTTCACGATCGTTCAAGATTTGAAGTATTCTGTTATTCTCTCTCTCCCGATGATGGCACAACTTTCAGGGCTAAGGTAAATCGTGAAGCTGAGCACTTTGTTGACCTGAGCACTATTGCGTGCCACGGAAAGGCTGCGGATCGAATTGCAAGTGACGGAATCCACATTCTTCTCAACATGAATGGCTACACTAAAGGTGCCAGAAATGAGATCTTTGCCCTTAAACCTGCTCCAGTGCAAGCTATGTGGTTGGGCTATCCGGGCACTAGTGGATCGTCCTTCATGGACTTCATAATAACAGACGGTGTCACCTCGCCATTCCATTTGGCAGATCAATATTCAGAGAAGCTGGCTTACATGCCCAAGACCTTCTTCATTGGTGATCATGCGCAGATGTTCCCGCACATGCGAAATCGCATAATCATTGAGAGCGCGGAGGAAGTGGCAGGCGGTCTTCGAACAACCGACAGCTCAATGGTTGCCTGTGGGACTGATATTAAGCCTCTCTTCTCTGTGGGTACACTACGGGAGATGATATACGGCGGTCGAATTACCGAGCAATGTGGTTCTACTATTAAAGAGGTCCCCTATTACATTAAAGTTCACATTCTCACCGTCCCGTCACTGCAACCCGTTAGAGAAATGATAAGGGTTAATGCGGCATCGTGCACGCTGAACAATGTAGTTTTACAAAACGGTTTTACAACGCAGCAAACACAGTCTCGAGCGTCAGCAGGTGAAGAGATTCCAGGAAACATTATCATCACATCGCGCCAACACTATGGGTTGCCGGAGGACGCGATCGTATTTTGCAACTTCAATCAACTCTACAAGATCGACCCGTCAACAATGAAAATGTGGGTGGAGATTTTGAAATTAGTCCCCAACTCAGTCCTCTGGCTTCTACGCTTTCCTGCCGCTGGTGAAGCAAATGTCATAACGGCTGCTGCTGATTTTGGCCTCCAAAATCCACACCGTCGTATCATTTTCAGCAATGTTGCTCCAAAGGAAGAACACGTGCGTCGTGGACAAGTTGCTGATATCTGTCTTGATACGCCACTTTGTAATGGTCACACAACTGGAATGGACGTGCTTTGGGCTGGGTGTCCAGTGGTGACTCTTCCGCTTGAATCCCTAGCAAGTCGGGTGGCTGCTAGTCAGCTCTACTGCCTCGGCTGTCCGGAACTTGTTGCCAAGTCGCCGGAGGACTACGTACGGATTGCCTCTAAATTGGGAAACAATCGCGAATACTTGCATGCCATCAGAGCTAAGGTACTGTTTTTTTTCCTTGCTTCTACTAACTTTGCGCCCTCATTTAGGTATGGAAATTGAGGGAAACATCACCCTTATTCAACTGCCGACGGTATACAGCCGATTTGGAGCTCCTTTACGAGCGTATGTATCAACAATACGAATCCGGTCAACCGTTCACCCATATTACCGATTGGAGTGAGAGGTCGAGAGAACAATGAAGTGACGTACTGTAGTATGTGAAGTGTGATCATGTATTAATTCCTACCTGTACAAAGATTTCCGCCCCCCTTTAGTTTTGTCGATGTCGAGTGTTCTTCGACTGACGAGGACCTGTTTCCGTCTGTTTGTATTATATTGCATTGGGAAATGATTATTGAGGAAATAAATTTATGCATACTAAAGCGGCGTAACCACTTTTGTGACTTCTTCCCACGGGGGTTGTTGTGGCGTCACTGAGTCATGAGGCAGGGAGTTGGGTGTTTATGTAGTCTCCCCCCATGGGGGTGGTGGAGACCGAGACGCAGGCGGATTACATCACAGGGATAAAGGGTTCGTGTGGGCTGTGGGTTAGACTGCCAAGGCCTGCCTAAACAAACCAAACCCGGAGAATCGGCTGTCTCATCGAGTTGAGATGCGGGTGGGTGGTTTGCATCTTGGTTACTGAAATACTGGAACCGGGTTGATGAATCACGTTGGCTGGACTAAGGACAGCTTTCATGCGAATCGGTTGTCTAGGTAGAACAATGTGCACATACATCACCTAGCTTAAATAGCGTAAACTAGAAAGATAACGTCCAAACGCTAAAGAAATTGCCAGTAGGCGAAGTGTTAGTTTTTTAGGCACCACCCTGACAACAAAGCGGTAGTGACAACACGGGCGGCAGTGATCAGTCACTGGCATGAGTAATGAGCATGCCCTGCCAAATGGAAAGAATCGAGGGAGGAATTTGCCATTGGTGGAGTCTTTATTGCAGGATGACAGGCCCACTTGCATAAAAAAAAATTGTTTTATTTTTTGTAATCGTCAAATTATCGCCTAACGAAGACATTCTTGCCGCTTGCCCTCCTTTAATCCTTCAGCCTAAAGTGTGGACTTAAGCGCTTAGACACTTCGTTATTTTCGCGGATTTTGTTTAAATTTGCATGATCGTAAAGGGAAAACTTTGCGCGTCTTGAAATTTTAGTCGTGATAGTTTTACTGGATTTAGCCTAATGCTTAAGATTCCAGTATATCGAAGGGAAATATATGTGTATTTAGGTTTTATTGAAGCCACTCTATGACCGACCTTTGGGTAACAAGTAAAAAAAAAACGAGAGTGGACCCTACTTGACGAGCTCGGAGGAGGAGGAGGGAAGGCTCGATTAAGGCAGTGAGAAAGCATAAATTTGCCACAAAGGTAACTACTGGGTTATACTACAGGAATGTACTTCTAGTTCTTATTAGGCCGCAATTAATCTCACATCTGGGTCGTCCACGCTATTATTTGTCGTTTATGGTTTTGACTGTTTTCTTCCCCCCCCCCCCTTCCCCCAACGCCGAGCTACTACCATACCGAAGTAAACTATCTCGGCGGTCCGAGGTGCAACCAATGTACGCAGACTCCTTAAGCAGCCGACGAGATTAGAAAGGATTTTCCAAGTCATTCTGCTCACCTCAAAATCAACCCTTTGCAAACGCTTTTCCAGGGCGAATCCAACCTCTTCAGACATTACATTCTCTGACCTACTAGTTTAGAGGACCTTAAATAAGTAACCTAATGACTTTCTGATTCTGTCCAAGAAAGTAAATTTACTTACCCCCTTTTAAAAGCGAAAATTTGGCAGACCTTAGGTATCTCTTTTGATAGCTTGAGCAGATTATGTGCTCATATCCTTTGTAGCGAACCTGTGTTGGACACCATGTCGGTGATTGTCTCCGTCGGTTGCTCTGGCTGGGTAAACTAAGGGGTTTTTCAGCCATCCCTAAATGATTGGGCAATTGCCACAGCCACCTCTTGAACACCCTCCTCGCCTAGTATTCCCCAATCAACTATTAAGAGGGTGATTAGGAGATGTCGTGACTTTTCAGCACCAAGCCATGCCGACTTCGGTTCGGCCACCGACCGAATGGCTCAAAGGGTAGCGATGATGAGGAAAATGCTGTTTAAGTGGCCTCAAATCTATAAGTCAGGAAAATTTGCTAAAGGTAGTGTTTGAGTTCTTTTCGCTGACCACCAATTCCACTGCCCTCCGTTGCATCGAGTCCACTGCATCAAGCCAAGCTGGTGATCTGGGTGCGTTCAAGACAGTCGAGACTAGAGTCGGTCTCACAAAAAAAAAGAACCAACACCCAGTAGAACTTATCACACCCAATTTCAGCGGCAGTCTGTCAACTGAGACTTGTCAATCGCTTGCTGCTCGTCAGGAGGTTGGAGTAGAGGGCGACATGACTTTCATGAATTGGCAAATACAACGACTGTGGGAGGTGAGTATTCCAAAGTCAGATTTGATAAACTGAACACTATACAGTTTCAGGATCTCTCACCTCCAGCAATTGCGTCAATCAGCGTCTCGATGAGACGTTCAACTAATCAAAAGGGTAAGCAGAATAGTATGGACCTGGGGTTTGAAAGTAAGTCCAGAGGCTTAGAGAAGAAAGTGGATCACAGTCACCGCTTGGGGATTCCACACCGCCGAAAAACGGTTACTTGGGCCGACAAGGGGTACTTAAATCTAATGATTGGCAGACTATTCGACACTGCTGTGTTCTTGGAGATCCATGTTCATCCATCCTTCTGTTACTCATTAGGTCCAATTTTCAAACATAATCTGGATGTTTCCTATTTCGGCGTTTGAAAGGGTCCTCTCGTCATTATCGTAGCCGTAAGACTCATTAAATAACAACAAAAACACCGTTTTTAACTAGGAATGGTAACTTAAGATCAAAGCAAAGATACAAGATTCTGTGTTAAGACGATAAGGGAGAGTTAAAGCGAAAGTGAGGGAGACGATGGACAGTGAATGGGTAGACTCCTTAGCCAGTAAAATACGTGTTATCAAACCGTAACACAGGCCTTTAAGCCGTGACAGAGGAGGAGGCGTAGAGGCTTTGGCAGCGGCAGTGCGGCGAGAGCTGCAAACGTCGTCTCCTGAACATGGCGTTTACGAGTCATGGAGGTGGTGAGGAGACTCGACACCACGTGGCGCCGAATGCTCGCCACGCAAAGTTCCACTAAACTGCTTTGCACGAATGGCGTCTGGCTCCACAGCTGGAGGCGTCTGTCACCGAGGCTGCAGTAGAAGGAATTGAATGAAAGGATACGTCAGTTTTGCCCAATCTCCAGCAATCCAGCTGCCACGCTAGCAGTTACAGCATATGTTTGTAGCGAAGACTGCGTGACGAAAGGATAGTTGAAAGTGGGTCGATTTACGACGAGGTATTTCATGACACTAGGCTTGAAAGGAGCAAAGTCTTGAGGAACTGCTTATAGACCAACTCTCTATATTACGAGAACTGGAAGGAATGCATTCCACAACTCTCTGAAGCCCCACTACACAGCGTCATCTGCAAATATGTCTTCGAAAGGCAATTTGCGTGTAAATTGCACTCATTATAGAACCCTGTCCAATCCTAAGGCAAATAATGACAACTGAGTCTCTATATTACAGTTCGTAACAAAAACTAATAAAAAACCAACGCTTTCAACAATGCCCATTCAGCCGGATACTTTTTTAAAGGTTGCAGTAGGATGAGGTCGCGATGCATGAAGAGGAGGACCTGTGTAGCACAACAATTTCCCGCGAAACGGATACCACGCTGATGACATGGAGTTCAACAAGTAGACTCCTAGTCTTCCAGTACATTCAACCGAGCCACTTACCAACTCTACCACCTTTAGACTGCAGAGATGACTCGAGTGTTACATCGACTAAATCGCCCATGCTTCCAAGTGTTCAGCAGTACAATGAGTGGAACATAATGTAACGCAGCAAGTTGAATTGGACGTGCAACGAGATCGCCAGAGTAACCAAATCAGTACGAACTCGAACAGTTGGCATATTGCTTCGATACTTTAGAGGTGACACTCGGACCAAAACGGCTAACCGTCACGTAGGGGAAAGGAATGGGAAGAGGCATTCATCATAAAAGGCCTAGATTAAGTTTACATACCACCCAATAGGTGAATCAGTAGATTGAGGAACCTTGTGTGAAGATACCATTTCGTTTGGCTTAGTGTAAACTACCACATCCATTTATCTTTAAGGTGGAAGATAATGGATAGAAGGCAAGGCGTCTGCTTAAACGATGTAAAGGTGCAATGACCCACAATGGGTCAGTTTCTTTGCGTAACATCGTGCGTAACCTCCTGGATGTCTTTCAAGAAAAAGGCTTTGGCAAAGTAGTTACTGTTTTAAGTTACTCAGTGACCCACACAAGTTTCAATGTATTCTGTCGAACGCGTGACCTCAAAGAGAGCGCTTTAGTAGTGAAAAAGCACCAATAGTACGTTAGATGAAATGAGAAACGTTAATGTTAACTTCTATGGCTCATGATCGCTGTTAGAAGGATAGCACAAAAGGTGGTAGGTGAAGAAATGAGCTTTCTACAGCAAAAAAGCATACAACAATGCTAATCTAGGAGTTTCAAAATCACAGCGTACCCTGGTGGTGCCAGGGATAGCAGGAGCTATGATTAGGTTCCCTCGGGGAAATCTCTTAATCCTGATGAATTCCGAAATCAAGTATTTCCTTCAACGTGCCATTATGCTCAGAGATGGTACGCCTGTCTCACTAAACAAGAGTCTGAGCTCAATCACTGATGACAGGAAACAGATGATCGGTGGTGATATCACAATTGAAACTGCAGATTTTGTAGAATTTCTCAGTGGAATTGTCAAGAAGGCGTCATGTGGCATTAACGTGTCTGTCGCATGGTTGTCAGCTGAATGGTAATAGTAGTAGTGTGTAAAGGAGGCGTACTGACAGATTGCCAGGCGCTCATAACCAGGAAGGCTTCAATCTTTCATTACAATATATTGATTCAACAACTGATGCTCCTAGAAATAGCGTAAAGCCGAATTAAGCTGGAGTGGTGACATCCCAATTTCCCGTTTATGCATTCAGAAATGCGATTTGAATAGGTTTCCTGAGTACCCTTTCAGATGCTTCAAAGGCCTTCTAACGGTTGCATCGAGAGCTGCAAGGGGTGACAACAAAACTCGGAAGTTGACCTTGAGAATTGACTGAGTTCCTGACAGAATTTCGGTGTCCATGAGGTAAAAATACATGGATTTGCGGACGGATAGAGGCTAGCACCTTATGTAAATTTTCCTCTTTAAGTAAACCCATTAGAAAATCACGAGTGTATGACATTTGTTGCTAACTTCAAGAAAACTACACATGAAGGTCTTGGAGTCCACCAGTTCTTGGACGTTGCGGAGTGGGTTAGAGGAGATTTTTCAATCTTGAAAAACAATAAGGGCAAAATAACAAATCAGTATGTACTCCTAATTGCACTAGGGGCATACTGAATGAACCAGTAATGAAGATGATGGATATCCTTCCAGCTAAGGATGGGAGAAATGCCTTTGCGTCCGACATTTCAGTGTGGGAAATAGTTGATGTTTTGAAATAAGGAGCAAAGACCACATTCGAGAGGATATTCTTGAGGCTGCGGCTAAAAGAGCAAGTGGACGTCACGGCACAGATGAAAAGGCTTCAGCCACTAATCCATGCCCAAATAGCCATTGACAGAATACAATTTGTCAAGATTAGTGGATGTTCCGACAACAATAACCTGTCCTGTTCAAATAACAATCCCCGAGAGACAGTTGATGAATCATTCCGTCCTCAATGATTCATGTAGCAGGCCAAAGTCTAATCAGCAACTACTTCAACCATAGAGAGAGTTTTATATACTTAGTGGGAAAAGAGAAGAGTTTTTGAAGACTCACGAGCAAGCTAAGAGGCGACCGCAGGGACTAAAGACGAGGCTTCGTTCACGAAGTGATCGGCGGTTCAATTCTTGCCATTGTGCCAGAACGCGGGATTCCAGGAGGGGCGAGATTGACCAAATATGCAATTTTCTATGCACAATTAAAATATGCATAAAACACCGAGAAATGGCATTTCAATGACACGATTCTGCACTCACCCGTCTTCACAAAAGGTGGCGAAGGACTCGGAATCGGGTGAGAGAGCAAGACTGGTGATGTGGAAGTCATTGGCACCTCCAAGAAGTCGCATGTTCCACGGCACCGGCATATGCCTAAATAAGAAGGACAAGATATGGCTGGCTCCATAGTCTATTGAATCAGGACGAGGTGGGAGGGTAGGTGATTACAAAACGTTGAGATGGTTTCGAGTTACCACAAAGACCCATCCTTGAGGGCGACAAGCGTAAACAACCACATGTCTAGAGCCTCAGTATGGATTTTCGTCTGGAAATGCGGTAAAACAGAAGCACGATATTAAGTGAAACCTCCCGTTACAATTGAAAAAGCCACAGTTCCTCAATAGAATCGCATAGTCCCGCAGATCGTTTAGACAACATCTAACTTGGTAGTAAACTTTCGTGGAAATGACCTCAGATGACGTCAGGATTACTTACTGACCTTCTCACGCAAAGCTATCCGAGTTGCGGAAAGCTGCGATAACTCTACAAGCTTCGATGTTTGACAGAACTGTCACTTAGGATAATTAAAAGCTCTTGAGGGCAATTGTCCTAGATTTCAATGTCTCGTCCACCTCACTGTCGCATATGCCAACACCAAGAAGTTTCACTACGGCCGAAGATTATTTGACATCGAAGCGGTGTGATGTTAAAAATAACACGAGTCATGAGTGCTTAGGTGGAATTAAGGTAGATTATCCCATCCCAAAACGACATTCCATTCAATGGAGGGAGGTACAACAATTTCCCACGGTTAATAATAGGCGAAAGAGATTAACTGCCGTGCCACGGCTAAGCACTATTCCCACTCCATCGAAATGTTCAATCTTGACCAATTTTCGTTCTTTGTCACAAAAGCCTCCACCTCGAATGGTAGTTTTGCTGATTTGCGTATTATCGATTTTTCAACTTAGAGCGAATCGCATGCGTACGAATAGACGGCCAATCAAACGACTGCACAGGGAGACGTGCACACACGCATGCACAGGTGCTGCGATGAGGCGGGTGCATGTATGCACCTACCCTTCGCGCGTATACGCACCGTAACTAATGGTAACCGCGGCAACGTGCGCACCAAATGCATCGGTGTGCAAACACGCACACACACGCCAGAGCCAGAGGATAAATTGATGCGTGCGTGCGTGCATGTAGACTTTTGCACGCACGTATGTTTTGCTAGGCCCGGATGGTGGTAGCATGGAAGGTCACACGCAAATTGGCATTCAAGATAAAAGGAATATACTACTTATATCTGCCATCTGCCCATCAGTAGCACTTACACGATCTATCCCCAAAAATAAAGTGGTCTGCAATGTTCGCAATTAAAACGCTAAGAAAGAAAACAACCACTTTTACACGTTTTCGTGTAAAAAACTTAGGTGATAATTTTTTACGCCAATTGACAACAAATGTTCACACCGAATATCTCATAATACTCATCTTTTATGAAAAAAAATCCTTTCTTTTGAACACCGCCGGGGTAGCCTTCTAGTCAACTCAAAAGCAAGTGAAAATTTGGTTTGATCTAGACCTGCTATGGATGGAAATGAAGTGATCCAAGTCGGTTAGCTGCATGTGAATGTTACATGTTAGCCGAAAGCGAAACATTCAGTTTTAACAACTCGTAACCTAGACAATGTCCCAGTCTTCCTGCAATACACGCTTGATTTATATATAAAAGAGTATAATACTGTTAGCCGAGGCCTTCAAAGCAGACCTCCACCAATGCTAGAGGTGCATCTCATTATTTGCTAGAATAAATAGTGAGTTTTTGAAGTACTTTAGAGTCCTCTGGACATTTCGAAAACCGTTGAGATCAAAAAAGCCGCATACAGTAGTCGCCAAAACCATTTTGGCAATAAGCAGTTTACACTACTTATTAGTATATAAGTGGCAAGAATAAGTCCAAGTGGGATGACTAAAAACATCAAGGTTGACATCTGTACACATTTTAATTGATAACCAGGGAATAAATGCCAAAAGAAAAGGAAATAGAATGAATTTGTCAAAAAGAAAGCAAACCCAAAACTCGGGAGATAGCTCAGTAAAATGATATCTGGGAGTCCAAAACCTTGGAGATTCCATAATCCTAAATACTCTAGCCAAAAAATTTTGAAATGAACTGGTAAAAAGTTTGCGCCAAGAAGACTTAGACCTACGAATAGTCGTGAACGGGAGCGTACGTCGGCACAGACCACAGAGTACAGATTCCATCGAAAGAAGCGGTGAGGAGGAAATCACCATCTCGACTATAGGCGGCTCCTGAAATCATATGATAGTGGCGCACCAGACGAAGACAACGATAGGGGCGTTCATCCTACAAGTAAACAAAAGGGTTGTCGAGTGACCATGGTGCCAAAAATCAGATCAGGAGGGAGGGGGAGAGGAAGAAGGTTGGAGTTAGAAAGGCGTATTTACTAAACTCTCGCTCGAGCATCCGTTTTACTGAATGATTACCGCCGTTCCGGTCACGTTTGTGTTGTCCAATTCATAATCACACCTATGAACAATTACGTGCTGGAATAATTTTCAAGCAGAAAGTAGGGGTGACTGCGTTCCACGCCCCTATTATTATTTATAAGACAGTGTTACTTAAAACTAACTCCCTATGGGTTTATCCCAACTGAAATAAAATTATCAGGTGCAAAGCCACAAAAAGCCAAAAAGAATTAAATTAGAGATTGTAATTTGCTAAGGTGTTTAAAAGATCCTTTACAAAAGGGTAAATGGACAAGTAAAAATACAATTGGAGTAGCTTGGAAGGGAAAACTTGAGCTTGTTCACTTCATTTGGTCCTTATGGAAAGTGGATAAGGAAGGTACAAAAAAAGGAAAGTGAAATAAACGTCACAATTTCATCCATTAATCGGCTAGCAGTGACTGTAACAAACGAGAACACATACCTCCAGCACCAAACCATGACCCTGTTTTCCGCCGAGAAAAAGATGACCTTCGTGGGGATGCCAAGCCGTGATGGTGCCCTCGTGATTGTAGGGCCATGCTACCTCCGCATTCTGTGAGGAAGACAATGAGACGACAGTTTAGCATAATAATTCATCACTAATGTGTCAGGAATCATGGAGATTTGTGCCATTATTAACAGGGCATATTTTTGACTCCTGTCAGTAAAGATTATTAAGAGGTTCTGCAGTGAAATTACTCAAGACTTCAAAAATTTGGTAGCTAAATAGGAGACAAAGGAATCGCAATAAGATTCAAATTAGAACATCGAATCAAAGGTCCTCGAGTTTGTGGGATTAAGCATTAATGAGATCTTAAGCATTTCGAACACCATTTACGAGGTCGAATCCTAAAACATTGTCTTCAGCAATTATAGATGTCGTCTCCAAAATGTTGCAAATTCGATTTAAAGCTCTTTCCATAAACGACTTTTGACAATGGCTTTCAGGCACCGGATTAAAACTGTCTGGAATATGAATGAATGCATCACGAACTGGTGGCCTCTCTGTACGTGGATGACAAGTCTTCATCTCCACTAGTAGGTCTTATAACGCCTTTAGGGAAGGCATGAGTGGGTGCAGTACTGGATGACGCGGGATTTCAGCTTGTGAACAGATATGATAAGCAAAAGCGAGGAAATATAATGGTACTCTCTGGCTCCGGTATCATAAAAATGGATCTTTTACCCGAATTATTGTTTTAGCTAACAACAAATTGACGACAGTAGATATATGGAAACACAAAATTACTGTAAGTGAATGAATTTACCCCATGGGTTTTAATTAAACATCGGTGCTACTTATGGGTGAGAGTAGTATCTACCAGCTTCCAGTATAGCAGAAGTGTATGACTCTAGCGTAATAAATGAAGGGACGATGAGAGGTTAAAGGTCATATTAAAGCACTTCTGCAGATAATTTGCCATATTTCGACCAAAACCATATTTTAAGCTAATTTTCAGACTTAAAAAAGCCAAATATTGATACTACGTTGGGACTGCAGAAGGATTCAACTCAAAATCGCGATCTAGTAGCCCCATCTCAATGGATGATTTTGATTCTACCTCATATTAAAACAATGAAGAGGTGGAGAATACGTTGAACCACGAAACAGGCTACAGCGGGTGTTTTCATACTGATCTATTTAACCAATCTCTGATACCACTTAGTGGCAAAATTAGTAGCTTGTGTGGTGTTGCAAAAAATTCCGTTATCTCAATGGAGTGTTGCCATTCCGAACTATGTCAAGACAGCATTACTACTAAAAGGGGATAGAGGCAGAAAAAATACGTGGTGGCACCAGCAATGTCACTAATTCATTATGTTCGTGACTAATTTGGAGCCAGGACTTGATAGCTTCAACGTAGTGTAAAATCGCATTTCAAGCACTCGAGAACACGAAAGTGGAGCGTAGAAAACAAGGGCAAAGTGAAATGAATGTAGCAGAAAATATTACGTCACCAGTTTGACCCAACAACAACCGATGCCGCTTAATTTGCCACCAATTTACTGATTCACCCTATGAGGGAGCAACAAAAGAGTGGTGATGGCAAGGGGAACTTACATTGGGCTCCTCCGTAGAGGGAAAGGTGACAGCGGTTGGCGAGGTGAGAGTGGCGTACATGTTTCCATCGTCCCAGATGTCCCACAATTTCACCACGCCCTCACAACTGGTTGAGGCGAGGCGTAGGGCGCCCTCCATGGACATGGCGAGGTGCAGAATGGATTGACTGCCGTCAAAGAGCACCATTTTCTGGAGGACTGAAGGCATACACAGGGATACAATTGGGACTGATCTAACTCAAACACGTTCAAGTGGTTTTAGAATTGGAAATTTAGTTCTGATTATTGGGCATTCTACTGAATGCTTTTGAATTTGGCCCATCGAGTTACTACACTTGAGAAATCATCTACCGACCACCAAGCAGTACCAACTTTGGAAGAGCTGAAGGTACGCAGATATGGAGTTATGCCTGTGCAAGCTATAACGGTTCAGATTTGGCGGTATTCCACGGGTTCTTCATATTTTCACCGTCGATCATCGAACAATATCAGCTTCACCAGGGCACAATCAGAATTCACCCCACCTGTCTACCTGTCTAATTGTGTACAATCTGTGGATGGAAAAAAACTATCCAAGTACTTCTGCAACCATTCGGTTGTATTCGAATGCAAGGAGGACAATCTAAAATACAAAAAACAGCTTTGGGAACTAGTTATGAGGCGGGTGAAAAACAGTTTTCCAGCCTACTTAGGCACCATGGTTAGGGCTACCGTCCTGGCAGCATGTCATTCTAGTCATGTGACTTCCAGCGTGACAGCCGTACTTGGACCAAAATAACGGGCTGAATTCCATTCTACTAAAGCTTTTTCAGTGTGCCTTATGGTGTTTTTCAATGACTTCTGTCCGATGGAGGGGTTTAGAAGGAATTTATGATAACCTAAGCTCAATACGGAGGTAGTCCTAATTACAAGAAAAAAGACTAGGATTGACAATGATTATACACAGTCTTTAGGTGCGGAAAAAAGCATCTTTTACACAAAGAATAAGCTGTGAATGAAGAAAACAAGGTGATGATGGTGTAAGGTGAAAAACACACACAACTGATCAGAATCAGTCAATCGAAAAGAAGCCAATTGTGAATGAAGTAGCCAAAATTTAAAGGTACAGGATTATTCGTGTTTATTGTTAACTTGACGGTGCTCAAAGTATCACCCAGTCAAGATTCGTTATGCCGTTCAACCGCATTATTGCAGCAGCGGCCACTCATAAAGCGGATCAGAAATCCGAATACCAATCATTTTTTTTTCCATGAAAAACAATGCAAGTGGAAAGTAGAAAAGACCACCAAAAAAGTTTTTACTGACGGCATAAAGCAGCGTCTGATTGGATAACTTATTAATGACACGCAGCGACGGCACAGATATTTGTAATCACATGGTCGGTGACCAATTCCGAGTGTGCCTTGCACATACAGAAAGCGACATTAGGACTGTTCCAAAGGCCTAACTTGGGCGGAGGACCACGGTGGAGACCGTAAAGACGTAGGCATCCATAAAAATAACGGCATTTCAGCAATAGAAAAGTAGTGGTCTGATAAATTTACAGTAATTGATTGAATCACCTTCTTCCTACAGTCCACGCTGTTAGGAGCAAGGAATTACATTTAGTTGGCAAACATATTTCCAAGCTGCTTTTGATTTGGAGATGGCAGATTCGGAATCGTAAGTCTTAGGGCCTCCTAGTACAAACATGGTAAATCCAAATAACTCAAGTATTGATGGATTGGAGTGAGGCACAAGGTGGGAAGAAAATGAGTGAGGAAAGAGAAGACATGAGTCCGACATACTGGGGGAGTAATGTTCCTTGAGAAGATTAAGGTTGTACACATCGATGTAGCCGTTTGATTTAGCCACTGCGATGACGCAGACCCGATCGGGGCGCCTGGTGACAACGGAGGAGCGCTTTATCAAGCGGTGTGGCAGACGACACTTACTGATGTCGCCGTCACCAAAGACAATGAAATTCACGTCCACATCGCCATTGGCTTCGATGGTGATAGCAGGCGCTAGGTCTACTGGCACACCGTTCCAGTGCCAAGGGGACTCACCATTAGAGTGGACAACGCCGCTGATAGGCCCATCACTCGAGTACTCTCTGAAATACGGAAAGCAAACTTCAGGCAATAATAAAATGAAACTGGGCATCCATTCGGGACACCGTTATACAAGTCATGTATTCCGAGTGATGGAGTTCTTGGCCGCCCCTTTTAATAAGTCATGGCAGCACATTTTTGACGTTGACAGGACTACGTTGAGAAAAATTGGCTTGTAAACCTAAGGTTAGATTGAATGCAATAGTGCACACCGTGAAACATGACCTGAGTGAACCCCAGTTCAAAAAAATCTATAAACACATAGAAACGAATACTTCATGACAAGTTTTAACCGGATCATTAATAACCAACTTAGTGCCAGTCAGCTGAATAACTTCTGCAGAAAAGAAGGCAAATTTCGGTCATCAAGATGAGCTTAAAGTGATTGGAAATGTGTTCACGAAGTAGTGGTAGAAAGAATAATATAATGAGGAAATTATATGCGCATAATAACTTGAGTATAGAAATAAATTCGGGTATAAAATAGATTTCCGAAGCGAGAAATAGAAGCAGTGAAAAATAGCCGTTTTACAAACAAATGGACGCCTAGAAATGTTTCCAGAGGGTCGTAAAAAGACTACTGATAAACAAAAAAACTTCCCATGTTAAGGACAGCAAACGTTATCAAATATTCCGAGACATAAAGTACGAAGGAGATATAGACTTGAAAACAAAGAATATTTTCGAGAGCTTCTGAGGTTATTTAAATAAAAGTATGATAACCATAACCTAAATGGAACCAAATCAAGTATAGTATCGAGGATAGTTTAATGCAGGTTACTAAGTTTAAACCAACTTAAAAAAAAATCAAAAGACATGGAGAAGTCAATCAGAAACAAAGTAAAGCCTAGGATACAAGCAAAAATCTAACTGAATGCACAAATAGAAGAACCAGTGAATCACCATTACGAAAAACAGCTACGCAAAACTACAGGGAATAAGTACTGCGTGAAAGAGCACAAAGTGCATTAGATACGAACCAGTGCAAGATACCTAAGGAAATACAACGTGCGAAATGAGATGGACAGATAGTTGGGAGTAAGATTAAAGAATCGAATAATTAAGAGGCCTTGTGGGTGGGGAAAGAACATGAATCAAGACGTATTATTGTCGAAAAACACCACTTACGATACGTAGATTGGAATGCTATAAAATTTACAAAAGAAACTTCATCATAAGTTCCAGTCAAGAAATGTCGTCACTGCTGCTCACTTGATTACAAATGCAAAATGCTGTATTTAGTCGTATTTTCTAGAGCTTTACAATGCAAAAGCAAACAATGCTATAAAGCCAACATGTACAATTTGCGAAATTCACTTTTAAAAACAAACTATTAACCGTTAACTAGAAGTAAATAAATACATCAGTTAAATGTGAAAATTACAGGAGTTCGGAGGTTTGATATACGCAGACGTGACGCCGATTTTCAACGAATCCAAAGTATTCTCCGCAATGAGAGAAAGCGCAGAACGAAATACTACGTTGGAGCGGATTTTCGTATGTCAAATAAGTCGATGTAGTATCTGAAATTAAAATAGCGATTATGAAGTACATGAGAATTACTGGTCATTCACAAAACCTGGAAGGCACTATGTTCCGTCGCTAAGTTAACTAAACGGAGACCCTGCTTTAGCAACAACACAAGGATGTTGTTGATTCCACCAACAGCGGATAGATTTGTAGATTGGTCTTCTGAAAACGCCCTTCACACAACCAATTACACTAAAGGCACGGAAATCGTCAACATAAATAATTTGGTATAATGCACCAAATATCATAAAAGGGAAATTGCAGCGATCCTTGAAGAAAAGGTTACTCCGTGAGTTAACCGAATTTGTATATAAGTTATACAGGGAATTACTTATTGAAGAGTTGACTTGTGGAATTTTGGGCAAAGTTTTAGGTCCTTTCGCTGACATTTGCACCTCACTAGTAGCAAAAATTGCTCGTCATATATGCAATACGCTGGTTGTTTACCTCTCTATTTTGGTGAAGAGTCACTTTCAACAGGGCCATCATACCTCGTCGGATAAGCTGGCCTTGGAGTCATGGCAGTAGCCCGCAATGCCTTCTGTGTACCAAACATATAAATTCTGCTCAAGTATTACTTCTTTTTTCGTCTTCAGGGAAGTCTCAGGGCGTTACATATAGATCAATAGGCATTACTTTGTTTGTCTAACGCTCGATTTTGGTGGGAGTTCGCTATTGTGCCTCCCCCGGGCGGTCCAGACTGCGCAAAGCCAGTGTCGACAGTGCGTACCCTGAACGAATATAATGTCTACCCCGTATCTTTAAGAAAGATGTGGAGGGCTGTATACAAAAGATCCGCCACGCATTGCTCAGTGCATGTTCATTTGAAAAGTGGTACATATACAACTTCAAATCAAGGCAGTAATTAGTCAAGGGGCGTGGGTCCTTTTTTGCAAGTTGCATTTTGCATAAGTTGTGCTTACCCAAATATTTCGTTGAAAAATTTAAACTAGACCAATATCAAGTAAAGTGACTTAGAACATTGTAGCTTGTGGGGTATTTAAGTAGCCGTAATCGCCTAACTGCACTACAGAGACAAGGTGTATTTGCGACTACATACTGGAAATTTCAGGCGGGCAGTTGTTTAACTCACTCAACGCACTTATCGCGACAAACGATTGCGACCGACGATGAATAGAAAACGGTATGCCAAACCAAGAATTGGGCATAGCTTCCAGTCTGCCATTAACAGTGGAGGAAAAAAGGAGAAAATCGAACCATCACAATGCAATGACTTGTATTTCTTGAAGTGGTTTGGTGTACTGCATCACAAAGCAATAGCCGCGACTAGAAAACCATATCATAAAATAGATGATAAAAAAGTTAGCGTTCCTAAGGCCCCAGAGAACAAAGATAAAAGTCAGATAAGGAAGAAGACATCACTGAATGCAGCCCAAATATCCCGCTCAGAACCTCCACCTAGGAACAACACCTCGGACAATGTTGACATAGTCGACCTGGACACGGGAACAAAAAAGAAGGATTAATACTCTCTGTGATTGGAACACTCATTTGTATGTACGTGATTTTTCCACAAATTACTCCCCTTTACACTTATGTACTTTTCGATTCATTCCTATTTCAGGATGGACATTCCAACATATTTTCTGGCAAAGTAAGGTCCTCCATCGTGAAATTTCAGCATTACAGCAGAAAATACTAGTGCGTTTGAGGGTGAAATGGGAAAAGAATGGTACAGGTATCCCAGTTCTCTTTGGCAATTAGATGGGTGCAAATTTCTGCTCATCATAAAAAGAAGTGTAATCTCACTTACAAAGTCCCTTCGGTCTACCCAAGGCACGTCAATGAGTTCCTCCTATCAATCCACATCGACGGTTGACGGAGAGATTTTGGTTTGGCTCTAAAAGGATTTTGCACTTTCTAGAGGAATCATCCTGATTCACAAGTTGATGTTCATATACAAACGAGGCTATTTCACATTTAAAGTAGCATGGACCTTGTGTATCGTAATCAAATAGCCTTAAGGAGTCTAAACTCACATCTAGTCCACAGCAGATAGAACTCACTCAATGCTTAGGCATGCAAGAAATCATCAACACGAGTTTAGAAAGTCATGCAAGTCGTCACTGAGACGCAATATTAGGTCGGGTCGCATGTCGTCAGTTGCATTTGAAACACCCGAAACAGATTTTTCTGAAATAGTCAGGGTGCGTAGTCGTTTGGCTGGAGGAGAGTTAATTGGAGACGGGAGGTGAAAAGATCCTAACAAAAGTGGGGCAGGTAAACTGGGAGCTGAGTCAAAGGGCACGGATTTCGTACACGCATCAGGTTGACATTCATGAGTAGGAGGATCGATTCCAGATGTAATCAACTTTTCAAGTCCCTTGTTCAGGCCCTCCATTGTTATCCCCCTTATCGAAATAACGTCAGGAAAATTTAGTTCACCAGATGTATGGATTCGCGGATCGACCATTAATGTTTTCGATACGAGTCCACGAAAGAATCGGATTGACGATTTAACCGATGGCGTAGCCTCAGGCAGATCTTGTGATGCAGGTGGAGGAGATGGATCTACGGGTTCTCCTGGAGCAGTCTGCGAAAACTGGGTCATTGAAGAAGGCAGATCAGATAAAGAACTAATCATATCGACTTCCCGGATGCCCATGGCATGATACATGGCATGTGTTCGACCCCTTCGATGCAATTCGAGAAGCCGCAGTGAGGCAACCAAATGCCACGTGGTTGTTGACGGACCTGAGACCTCAGTCTGGAAACCCTCGCGAATCGCCGGAATCCAACGATTCACGGAGTAGCGCCGGGTAAATGTGTTCATTTTCCCCGTATCCTCTTGACTGAATGACAGGAGAGAAGATGCTTCACAGATGGAGAATCGAAGATTTGCAGGAGGTGTTGGATATCTTCTCCTGTAATTTGTCAGAGCTTTGTGACTGACGGAAGCATTATTTTCTAAATGAATTGAAGGTTTCCAAAGTACAGGAGAGGGATTAACTCCCAGTGGTACCATTCGAGGGTTGTGTGGATAAAAAATTAGTTTCTGCGTAGCCTGACCTTGTAACAAGGTGTCGTGGACAGTGTTGGAGCGAGCCATACTAAGAGCGAAATTGGATCGTTCCCGGCCCTCTGTGAGGAGGACCACCACACGTCCTGAGCGCCTCCGCCCAGTTCTACCCAAACGCTGAATCAAACGAGCTGGTGACTTGTGCGCGTCGAAACAAACGATCAGATCCACCTGACCTACGTCTAGACCCTCTTCACCGATACAAGTGGAAATGAGGATGTTGACACGACCCTCCCGAAACATCTCCATTACATGGAGTTGATCTCGCTGAGTGTTCCGCTTCTTTGAGTGATGCTGACCTCCTGAAGAGGTCTGACCCACAAATACCGCTGGTCGTAAATTGGGCTTGTAGGCCTCCAGCATGTGCATAATGTCAGAAACGGAGTCACGATACTGTGTGAAAACTATCGCCCGAGTACCCCGCTGACTTTGACAGCGTTCAGAAGCACCTGTAAAGTGCTCAATCAGCACATCGCGGAGTTTGAGCAACTTCGGATGACCTGGAACAAAAGGCAATTGACTCATCACTGCCGTGGCTTCGGCAGCTCCAAGAGCACTCCCGAGTTCTGTGACAAACTCCTGTAGTCCAGTGACCTGAGCCAGGTCGTTGGATGACCCGATATTGGTAAGCAGATACTGATAGACAGGGCGTAGACCATATTGTGTGAGGAGTTGGAGGGCACGAGCGAAACATGTCGCTAGTCGGAAGTCTCGAAGAACCGCGCCAAAGAAGGATGAGGAAGGATTATTTCGAGTAAAGGCTTCGCGGGCTTTTACCAGTGTGAAGGCGGCAAACGCTTCAGGGTCGGGTTGTCGACGGGGATTTGAAGCCCACAGTGCATTGTGCTCACACAGGCGTTGAAGCGGTGGACGCGCAACATCGCAAAGGCGTTGTTTGAAGCGGGAGAGCTGTGGATCTAGACGAACTATGATGGTCTCGATGGCTCGTTGATGGCAATATTCACGAACATCAGGGCTAGATTCTGTGCGGACTTCCAGATGAGCAATGAGAAGATTCGCTATCACCGCTTGGGCACCCAGAAGATCAGAGGCTGGGGTTGCTGAGAGCGCAACCACACGAAATTGTCTATGATTGTAGGGTGCTCCTGTAATTGATCGCATCACCTGTACAAAAAGCACTACGTGAAGGTAGCTTACCTGACAATAGGCATGATTTCCAGTTGCTTTATGAGCCTCATCAATGACCATACAGCGGATCGAAGTAGCAGGACAAATGCCAGTGACGAGGTCATTGACAATAACTTGTGGTGTGAGGAAAAACGCACGATGCGGACCATTCCAAAGAGCTGCTCGTTGTTGAGGTGATGTTGAGCCCGTCAATTCTACGGCCTCGGCTGCCTGTATCCCGGAAATGGAGAGACCAGTGAAATCACGACAAGCTGTCATCTGCTGAGAGACAAGAGGTCGAGTGGGGGCCATAAAGACCACACAACCGGTAGGATACCAACGAAGGAAGTTGTGCAGAACGACAGCTGCAATTAGGGTCTTTCCCATACCAGTGGGAATGCAGACGAGGCAGTTTTGGTAGAGGCATCTCTCAGTAATTACGAACTGATAATCTCGCAACTCGACACTAGTAGGGTATTGCCATTCATTTCCAGCGGTAAGGTCGAAGCCAGGAAGGTTGGTGGAATCATTTGTGGTCGGGGTGTAGCATATCGGTGGACGGTTGGGAAAGTTTGTGGGTTGGCCTTTTTCTTGTGCTGATTCGTCAGTCTCATCTCTATCTGATACTTCATTGAACAGTGAGGAGGCGTCTAACTTTATATTGCCACCTCCAGAAAATAAACTGTCCATTTAATAACTAAAAGCGGAATAGTCGGGAATGCGGACGAATACTTCGAGCGCCTACAGTTGGAAAAAAAACAAGCAATCCATAGCAAACTAAACAGCTACTATGGTGACTAAATTCAAATACCGATTAAATAAAGTTCTACGCCGTGGTGGGAAAAAACGGGCTTAAACGACGCCCATCGCATGACCGTACCCCCAACATGACCTTGAAGTACTCGATCTCAGCCAGACCCGTGATTATTCATGATATAGGCAAGAAACGTCAATGTGAGTGCTTTGTCGGTTCTTAGACATCCGAAGATTGTCTGCGAATCAACAACTTACTTTTTTGCAAGTACATTCATATGTCTTTCTAGCTCAGAGGATAATGACTGTCCCTCAACTCGTCTGCCATTGGTCAAATTATAGCGCCATCGGAAATAGACGCAGTCGTCACCTCTAATGGTCACTGATACTGTTGGTCTATGTATCGGCTTGGTATGAGTTGCCATCGCTATTTGTACAGAGTATTAGAGGATTTGTCCTCTAATCTGAATGCATTCCAAAAGTCTCCCAGCTTTTCCCCTTTGTGTGCATGATTTATGTCTGTACGGGCTCAGTTGATACAGGTTGCTACATGCATGCAGTTATAATTTTCTCTATTGGCTTTTCGATAAATTCCTTTGGGATTTGGGCTGTTTTACCTCTCTCAAAACTGCAACAAAGTCATGGAACAGGTGGTTTTGGAATATTTTATGAATCTCCTATTTTGTGCATTACCATCGCACCCGAAATTGTTTTTTTTTTAAATTAATTATAATGTTTTAACTGCATGGGTTATTATAGCCAGGGAATAAAGCTTTTGTACCAGGAATATGATTAGTTAAAATTGTGTTCTGGTTTTGAATGCAGATCCACAGACCACATGAGGTCACTGCCTGCTGGGAATGTTCGCTCTAATCGCTGATGCTTTCGTTTGGGACGAGCTCACCTTTCCTTCTCCCAGCTCCCACCATTCAGGTATTTGGTGGCTGCTTTCAAGTTCTTTTCAGCTGCTAGCTGCATTGGCTAAATTGTTATACTGGCGGCTTTTCATCCTCCGCCTCGTGATCCGGCTGCTCGGCGCTCATCGCCGTGGCTTTGGTCGCTGTCTCGTCGCCTTCGCAGCAGTAAACATTTGCGCAGTTGTCTTCTCCCTTTATTTCTGTCTCCTTCCCCTCCGTCTCTCTCGTTGGCGTGCCACGGCTTCCTCCACCTCCTCTGAACTGTATTGGCTCCTGCTCCACGCAGTGCTCGGTCACGTCGTCCTCGCCAACATCGTCGTCCACTTCCTTGCTGGTGTCTTGTGCTCGCCTGGTCATGTGCCTCCGCTCTCTCCACTACCTCCACACCTCCCCCGAACGATGTGCGCCCGTTGCCTGCGCCCACGCCCGTGGCGGGCTCATCACTGTGTGGTCTGTGGGGTATGTGTGCTGCGTATGGATCATCACTGTCCTTGGCTAAATAACTGCGTGGGGCTGCGCACCCACAGACACTTCTTTCTCTTTTTGGCCCATCTTGCTATTGGTATTGTGTATTTGTATGTGGCGGGGTTCGGAGACTTTGTGGAGCACTCGAGTCAGGTGTGCCAAGATGGCGAGGTAAGTGGAGGGCTGAAAATTATTTGTTTTGGGTTTTATAATATGTTTCCGTGGATGGCTCTCTGTTTCCAGCTTACCCCATTGTTACAGTATTGTCTTGTGGTGTGTGCTTTGTGTTGTATCTATTGGCCGAAATGCCGCTTCGAGGTAATGCTTTGCAGTCCATCAACCACAGTATTGAATGTATGCTTATCAAGACTAAGTTCTAAGACCAAAGACGTGTAAACGTGGGGGATTTGCTTTGAAAGTGAGCATTCAGGGTTTATTCTTCCACCCGACTTGGACGTTTGACATCTAAGGGTAGGAATCACTTCGATCAAATATCAGCCATAGACTGCTTTAAGAGGGGGTTTCAATGTCAAGGCATCTTTTTCATGTGTAAGATAACCAGTGTTTATGGTAAATAGTTTAAGAAAGCTTATCATATTTGCTCTGAAAATCTATCCTTCTTTTTCAAGGACCCATAAGTCTGCGAGCTTTGTACTTATGAAGTCCGTTGTCTGTAGAAACGAACCACACTGTCCTAGGTACCCCCATTTTTGCCACTTTTATGTTCCAAATGCCCATATTCTGTGATTGCCTGGTGCTACAATAGTGATGCCGGTAATCCTCCCTCCTTCCTCCGTCCCTCTCTCCCACATTTTGAAATACTGAGTCATTTTATGGTCTAGTCTTTGCAGCTTATTGCCATCTGTCAAAACGTGGTATGTGGCATCCGTTTACTTAGCTGGCGCCACAACTCTCCACCCCCACTCAATGTAGGTGTAAATGAAACGCTTAATCACTCAGGCTGGATAGGCAATAGCAGCAGCTAATTCTGATATCTGTGCCGAAGAGAAGGCCCTTCTCAACTGAATGCATCACCATAGTCCAATGGTTCATTACCAGACCCAAATGACTTCTTTAAGACGTGGACGATATGTTGTTTTACCCCAGACTACGTCCTCTCCAAATGCCACGTAGCAAATATGGCGAAAATTTTCATTTTTGAATCTGAGTTAGGCCTCTTTTCTAAGGCAGACAGGCTAGAATCACATCAATCAGGTTCATTCGACATGTTACGAGGATTCAAAACATGAAGAGGATGTTGGAGGACGGTAAATAGTGCCGTACCGGTGGACTGACGAATGTGTTTGCTTTATGTTGGAAACAAAAGGAAATGCTGTCAATGACACCGGCTGTCCCGTTAGTTTTCAAAGTAAAAAGGCTTTAAAAGATCCATTCAGAAGTCTACTGATAAATACCATGGGAGGCAAAGGTGAACATGAGTATAACCTTTTCTCCTTCGTTTCCGACACAGTGTTTGATGTTTTTTTGTGGTTCCTCGTTAATCTAACATAACGTCTTATTATTTGTCCGATGGAATCCCGGCTTTGTAATTATCAATCTTAGTCGAGTATTCTCAGCACTAAATGCAAATTAACTGCATCGAGTTTCAGAAAAAGATGCCATAATAAGGTAACTTTAGGATGGGTTTTTCTCATTCATCTCTCATACATCTTATGTGATCATGCTAGCATCTAATAAAGGGTGAAATTAATTTGTAATCAATAAAAGGGAAGCAACATGAGTCTTGCTAATCCATCTTCCTCTCTCTTTGTCTCGGTTCTAACAAAATAGCATCATCGAATCAATTGCCTCGTCCACACAGTCCTGTGTGCTATCTACCGTGTCGCTGCGTTAGTTTTCGTATTCGTAATGGGCCTTCTTCTCTGGCACGGTCGCCTCATCGGACGTGGAGAAACCAGTGTGGAGTATCACCAGAATCGGAGGCTGGCACGGGCTTTGAGCAAGCATCACCTCATCTTCCGCAATCCCTTCGATTTTGGACCTCGCGTTAATTGGTTTCGCTTTCTGGGTCTCCAAATTTCCACAGATGCGAGGGTGGTGGAGAGGAGGAGAAGCTATGGAGGAATTGAGACTTTTGTGAAGAGGTTTATTCTGTATGTACTGCTACCGTTTAACTGCCCACCGTTTGATAGTGATGGGATGGAGTTTGAGACGCATGAACCGGATGTTGAGGGCGCTTTAAGGGACCTGATGAGCCTTGATAGATGTTGATTTCTGGCCAATGTGATGTATTCCGTGCGCGGTGGGAGTGTGCATTTTTCTGTTATCCACTTCGGATCCAGCGTGGGTGGAGGTGGTGTGGGGTGCGTCGCCGGTCGCTCTCAAGGATTGCTATTCTTTCTTTGAGACCATTGCAGGAGTTTGGTAGTCGGGGTTGAATTGCGAGTTCCGCTCGCGGACGGGGCTGGGGTGATCCACCCATTCATCAACATTTAATCACTCGTGGGGGTGGGGATGTTTGCGTGCCATTACGTGAGGATAAGGAAACTATAAAAGCAAAAACAATGAATTTTTACGTGGATTTTTGTTACCTTTTTTGCATTATTAAGGATATGAGTGTGTGTTTTATTATTCGTTTATAGGCGGTCCAGTTGATCTCGTTGGCTGTGGCACTTTGGTCACGAGTTCCCAGTCTGAGGATTGTAAAAGACGATACTGTCGCTAGGTGTCGTTAAATGGATTCTAGGAACGCGCTCAATCTTGACGGTAAAAATTCTTCTAAGAAGAGGAGATTTACTCCAAACATATCAAAGGCTTTGGCAAAAATATCCCAATCTGACGGCACGTATGTTTCAGGATTTTGATAAATTTTTATCAGTCTTTTAGTCTATGCTAGCTTTCCATATGCTATCTTACTTTGATGCATAAAAACAAACCATCATAATAACGTGTTACAGCTGTGTGGTTTGTCTGCTTTACTAGGAATCCACCTCCAAAGAACCGGAATTCCCATGATTCAGCCAAAAAATCGAATACCAAACGACCTCGCATAAATCGTCAATTATTAGAGGGTGAAGAGTCGCGTTATGTTCAAAGCTACTCCATATTTGAGACCGGTCTTGGTTGCGTCCCACAATCTGACAAAAATACCGTCGAACTGCGTATGTTTACCATTTCATAACCTTCCCACTCATGCTGTTCTTGTTATTGTGTCGCACGCTTCCTACTAATAGCCCGAACTATCTTACTTTGTTTCTCGTATATACACTTACAATGCTCAATAATTTTTTGCTTTTTTACATAAGTTGGTTATATGCTTCTAAACATCCCAATATATCGTTGAAATACAATTGAAGGCGCCACATTTCGCCACGAAATGTTATAAAAAGGGATTTGTTTTTTTATTTTTCCCTTTGATTACTTTAACTTAATGCTTTTGACTTGCTTTCTCTTACTGCTTACCACGGTTCTTTTATTATTCGTCTTTAAAGTTTAGGCAGAATTTCACCATGTCAAGGTTGCATTTCTATTTTGTTTTCATTGATATTTTTGGAAGCGAATTGCTGTTTATCCACGTACGCTCCATTTCACCTCATTTTTTAAGAATCCCTCCCAACTCGAGCTAACAGGACATCCGTGCAGGCTGTGGCTCAGTCGCCATCATCTCCGATGGATGTCGAATTAGATGGTTGCCGTAGAGCCCCCGTCACTGATGTTCAACAATTTTTCAGATATCCACCCATCTGCATGCCTCCGGATCCTCCTACTGCCTTTGATACTAACAATCTTGCTTCCCCATCCGTTCCAGGTTGGCACTATTCAAGTACTAAATTAGTGGACTGAATCAGACAGTATTATGTTCTTTCTCTCATTTACAGATTGCTCAGCAAACTTAGGGACGCCGAAAAGCCTCCGCTCTACTGTGATTCCTTCGCAACTCTTTGACGAAACCTCCCTCAATGGCAGTCTCTTTCATCTCCGAATCCCCGATGCCCTTCTTTCAGAGGTGTGTTCCTGCCCTTGTGCACCATGTCTGTTGTAAAATCTTTTCCATATGTTTTCGGTTGTCTATTGCATAAAATACATGAATTAGGATAGGGTAAAGTTAATACACTATTAGATTTGAAGAGGTGCAGTCTTGTTTAAACAAGGACTTTCATGGGCGTTTATGTAGTTAATACTTTTGGCTTTAGTCTCTTTAATAACACATTATATTTTTTCAAAGGCCTCACTTTCTCGTACAATATTTTTTTTCGTCCTGGAACATCATGTCTATTTGCAACATTTCTCCACAGAAAGAGTGTATGCATACCATTTGCTCAACTATGAGTAGATTGCTCTCTCACTCACAGGAGTCGCCTCTACAAAAGGAGGGCAAATTTGGCAAGATTCAACTGTTAGACAACGGCGAGACGCGTTTGGTAATCGGTGATTGTTTCTTGCGTCTCACTAGTCCGGGTGTCACCTCCTACTCCTCGGTACGTTCACGAGACTTTCTGCTTAGTGATTTTTCTTTTCAGTTGCTCATATTACAAATAATGAACTACGAGCTTCGTCGCGATTTTACCAGCATCCACGGGGCTTTTGAACTCCGGCATTGGGCTAGTGAAATTGTGCTTTAGGCCAATTTTTCACTTTTGTTTTTTAAAAAATGCAGATTTTAGAAGCCATCACTCATCCCGAAGTCACTAACATCACTTATGATCCTTAATGCTCACTCAAGCCTTGTAAATAGTGCGAACGTGTTTTGTCATGTTTTTACTTCTGCCACTCACCCTCTATTCAAATTCAACCAACTAGCCGTTGAGGTGATTAATTTGTGTTGTCAATTGTTTCATTGCACGTTTTGACTAATAGGTGCTTTGTTCACTTTCTAAGGTAGAGCGGGGTACTTATCAACTCGGACACGCCATGTCAGTGCTTTTAAATAGGCGCCTATTTTCTTTACCGGTTTTTTCGGTCTAGTTTCTGAGAGACATCGGTAAAGTGTTGCTTTTCATGTAATTGCCTCCAAGGGAAGTAATCACACCATGTCATGATCAACAAGACCAGTGTTAGGCTCTCTATCCCCTCAAAAATCCACATATTTTTCGCCTGGTTTCTACTTAGAAACTCCTACTCTGTTTTGCGTTTGCTTTCAGGATGTGGTGTTAGTGGAGGACGAGGGCGGGGAGGAGGATGGAGGTATGGTAAACCTTAACTCCCTCGGTCACATTGATCAGTTTGTGACAGCAGTACCCGATCTCGAGCGCTTTTCCAAGTTGGGTCGCTAGTCTCGGAGACGTGTTTGCTTCCTCTTACCCCCACCTCCATACGGCCTCCATGTACAGTCTCCAGGTGCTTCTTTTAAAACCGTTCAGCCTTACCTGATGCTGCATTTTGTGTACCTGATTGTATTCTTGACGAGCTTGATGGTAAATCATAAGAACTGTGGTGTTGATCGGTCGGATTCTTTTATTGCTTTATGGACTGTTCTGACCTAAACTTAACTATGCTTTGGAGGGCTGTGAGGCGGTGTATTCGTTTTTTTCTGGTGTGTGTATACGTGTGTGCTTGGATTTATGTCTTTTAAAGATTGCTCATCCAGATTAGAGTTTCTCACTGGTTTTGATTTGTTAAAATGTTTCTGGACGAGTGGTGTTGAGTTGACGAATCTTCAATTAGCACGGGCGTGTTAGTGGTAGCTTCATATCCTTGGGCCAAAACAGGGGGGAAGGGGCATTAACTTTTATTATTCTTTTGACGTATGCGAAACTATCAGCCTTATAAGGCTGTGGACTTAAATTCCGATAGGGTTTGGTTAGTGAAACCAAACACCCATTAGAACGGAATTGCTTGTACTTAGGGGATGCAGTAGCACAATAGTCGCTCACCTCTCGGTTTTGTTAACAGGCTACTTAGGGCTTCACCATTGTGCCTGGACCTGGCGGCTTGGCCCCTAGACCATGTCAGCAGCGCCAAGCTACATCG